AGCAATTCTGCAGTGGACACCAGCTGGGTGTCCTTTAATTCAATTCCAATACTATATACCTGTAGATAGTGTCAGATCCCACAGTACTGCTCAGTCCCTTGAGACTATCCCCACCCCCACTTCAGACACCAGATGCAAACCCCAGGTTGTTTTACCTGTGCTTGTGAATGACCAGCTATAAGTTGAGGTTTCTACAAGCCCCTCCCCCCTCTTTAGGCTCGATTAATTTGCTTGAGCAGCTCACAGAACTCAGGGAAGCTCTTAATTATGCTTGTAGTTTAGCATAAAGGATATTACAAAGGATACAGATGGAGAGATGCATAGAACCAGGCATGGGGGAAGGGGTGCAAAGCTTCCATGCCTTCTCTGGGCTCGCCACTCTCCAGGAACCTTCATGTGTTCAGCTATCTGGAAGCTCTCTGAATGCTGCCCCTCTGGTTTTCATAAAGGCTTCATCACATATGCATGATTGATTAAATCATTGGCTATTAGTGATCAACTTAACCTTCAGCCCCTCTCCCCTCCCCAGAGGATGGAGAGTGGGACTGAAAGTCCCTGCCTTGGTCTTCAGGATGGGTGACTATCCCCATCCTGAAGCTACCTAGGGGCTGCCAACCATCAGTCAATCATTAGCATATAAAGACAGCACTCTGGAGATTCTAAGGATTTTAGGAGTTGTATGCCAAGAAAAGGACAGGAACCAGAACGAAGACTAAATACATGTTTTACAATATTACAGGATCTTGTATTTTTAAGAGCAGGAACTCAGTATTGTATATCTCATCTTTTAAACACATAATTTTGGAAAGTACTGTCTTTTAAACTTTATACTATTAAAAGTTTAAAACATATGCAAAAGTGGAGAGTATAGTGAACCTTCATGTACCTGTTATCCAGCTTCAGCAATTACCAACGCACAGCCAATCTCATGGTAAGTACTTTAGTTTTTTGACAACTTTTTAACTTGACATTCTAGACCTTTAACTACCTTTATTGTTTACTCGGGCACAGTTTATTAAGCATCTAACATATTTCAAGCATTGTGGTTACTAGACGCTGGGAAGAAGAGGAGGGAGGGTGGGTAGGAGAAGGTTGGTTAATGGATATAAAATCACCTAGATAGGAAAAATAAGTTCTAGTGATCTATAGTAGTGGTAGGCATCTATAATTACCAATAATTAAGAGTATGTTCTCAATTGGCTAGAAGAGAGGAGCTCAAATGATCTCATCACAAAGAAATGATACATTTTTTTTTTTTTTTTGTCTTTTTTCCGTTTCCGGCAACGGATCGCAACCCTCAGTGTTACCCCCGTACCGGACCGGGGACCGGCAACGGGATTGCAAGCCTCGGTGTTGCTCCCGAGCCTCGCTCAGTCAGTGAGCGGGAGCCGGTCCGTATGTGGGATCCGAACCCTCGGGCGGGAGCGCCGCCGCGCTTCCCAAGCGGCGCACTATCCAGTGCGCCAACGGGCCGGCCCGAAATGATACATTTTTGATAATGAATATGCTAATTACCCTAATTTGATCAGCACACACTGTATACATGTATTGAAATATAACCTTCTACCCCATAAATATGTACAATCAATATATCATGTCAATTTAAAAATAAATTAATTAATTTAAAAAATAAAATATTTCAAGCACTGGGCTGAAACACTATAAATAAGCATTTGTTACACTAGACTCCTTGCAATTCCTTAAATATGCTCTATTGTTTCACACTTCTGTGCAACCCGTATAAAACACATATAATTCTCTCTTCCTTGCATGAAATACTCATGCTTGCATCCACACCTCCAATTAGTTCCTTTGGTATTTGTCAGCTCTCAAACCATACCGAAGACACCTCTTTCTTTGTAAAACCTTTCCTGAACCCTGACAGTAGGTTAATTGCTCCCAATCTTTACCACAATCATTCTTTATATTTCTGTTACAGCACTTTTGCATACTGAGGTTCAATTATTCATACATGACTCAAAATCACTCACTAGACCATGAGCTACTTGCAGCCAGGAAATATTTTGTTTCCTTATTTTCAGTACCTATCACCTAGCCTGGCACACAGAGGCCACTGAATGCATATGTATGGACCAAATGAATGAATTTCCTAACAATACTTTCCATATAATAGTTACTAAACAAGGATTTATTGAATTTAATTTAATGAGCAGTCAAAATAATGGAAATTACTACCCATGGGAAGAGCATAAAAGTTAAAAAATAGAGAATGCAGGTGAGATTAGAGTGGGAAAGGATAAATGGGCGAGTTTCACATAATCATTCCTGCCTTGCCCCTGGATTACCGCTCTCATCTCCTTTTAAGGTGTGGGGTTTAATCAAAAAGCTAGGATGGGTTTTCTCCCTTCCCTTTCTCCCTCCCTTTCTCCTTCCTTCCCTCTCTTCCTTCCTTTCTTTCTTTTCTAAATTTTAGACAGACTTTAAGGCCGTAGTTATGCATATCTTGGATTTGGGAATCTTTTCAGTTCCTGCATTTCCTTTCAATACCTAGGAAAAACAAGCTCATCTGCAAAGCCTCTGAGCCTGCTTGCTTCTCAGGACTCCAGTGGTACTCTAACATGAGCAAGGAATCCCAGCCAATCATCCTCCCGAGCTGTCAGTATCTGGGAGCTAAGGTATTGAGCCCTTCTTCAGATTGCTGACAGGTCTGTCAGCAGTAGGCATGGGGAACTGCAACGCACAGGTAGGAAGGGGTGAGAATGGGGCTAGATCAGGGAATTGAAATTAATTGTGTGGCCAGCATAGAGGAGTTTGGTTTTACTTGCAGCAAGAACCTGGAAAGGTAGACAGGCGCTATATCATGAAAAGCATTTCATGTCACTCACATTTCGGCACTCCCGCAGAGGGTTCGGATCCCACATACAGACCGGCTGCTCACTGGCTGAGCGAGGTGAGGGCGCAACACCGAGGGTTGCAATCCCGTTGCCGTCCCGGTCCGGTACAGGCGAGACACTGAGGGTTGCGATCCATTGCCGGTCACGAAAAAAGACAAAAAAAGGAAAAAAAAAAAAAAAAAGAAAATCACTCTTAATTCAACCATCTGGAGATAACTATTTAAAACATTTTGATATATGTCTTTTCAACCCATCTTTCTATGCACATAACCATGAATGTATATTTTAAAAGAAAACAAAATAAGCCTTGTACTGTATATATTTATTCCTTTGTAAGTTGCCTTTTCATAAATACTTCAAAATTAATCAGTTGCCTTTTAAAACATAAATAAAGGGACACACGGGATTCTATTACATTGATGTTTCATAGATTATTTAACTAATTATTTATCATTGGGCATTTAGGTTGTTTTAGATGTTTTTGCTCTTATAAAAACACCTTGATAAACATTGTGTACACTAATTTTTATATGAGTATCTAATTACATACTTAAATCTAAAAGTGGAATTATTATATCGAAGCTATGAAAATAAGGTTTTAAAAAAATTTGATGCAGATTACGCTATAAATAAAGTTATATCAAGTTACGCTCCCACTAGCTCTATCTGAGAATGCCTTCTGAGCTCTTTCATCCACACTGGTTGTTCTTATTCTTTTAAAATATTTACCTTTTAGTTTGTTAATTTAATTTTTTTGTATACTAGTGAGACTGAACTATTTTCATGTGTTTATTGGCCACTTGTATTTCTTTTTTGTATGAAGTTTGCTATTCGTGTCCTTTGCCAATTTTTATTCTTTGGTCTTCAAAAAAAATCTTTTTTGGGCCGGCCCGGTGGCGCACTGGAGAGTGCGCTGCTTGGGAGCGCAGTGGCGCTCCCGCCGAGGGTTTGGATCCCATGTGGTGACCGGTTCCCGCTCACTGGCTGAGCGTGGCGTGGGCGCAACACCGAGGGTTGCAATCCCGTTACCGGCCAGTAAAAAAGACAAAAAGGAAAAAAAAAATCTTTTTTAACTTT